TTTAAGAGTTCAAGTAGGAAACATAAATCCTACTTCTAATTGTATTCCTAAATAAAAGCCTATATAAAAGCTTAAGTTCAAGTTTTGTAATCACAACTTTGAAAATTAATAAATTTGAAGCGTTGAACTTTTATTTAGAATTAGCTTTGTGCTAATTTTTTTTCTTCAGGTTCTTCGAAGCTAAAGAGCTTTCCGAAATCTTGTTGAGTTGAGGAGTTAAGATCGACTTATCAGGTAAGTTCGTGGCAGCTTTTTTTTCCTTATTTCTGTTTTCCTATTTCTTGTTGTTGCATGCCATATTCTTGGTTATAGATTCAAGTAGAGGGAGGGATTATTAGGCAGTTAAGTTTCTGAAATTGCACGCATTGTGTTAAGGTTCCCAAAGTCAAAACAATCCTTTCCATACCATCCTACGTCAGGTGGTATCAGAGCTTAGGTTCCTAGTGAACCTATTTATCTTAATTCTTTAGCATTATTGTGAATTAATTAACATTCAAATTTATTTTGAATCATTAATTCGTTTTGTGTCCTGCTTGAATTCATAATTATATGTTTAATTCATATGGTTTATGTTTCATCATTATTTAAAAAATACAAAATAAAAAAAAGCCCAAAATATTCCAATTGCACCCTTATAAGGAAATTGACACACAGTTTGCATTTTTGCATTCAAAAGAAGAGTAACCACCTAGTAGTTTGACTAAAAAACTTTGAGGAGTCAAAAGAAGAATACCTCTCCTAGTAGGTGCACGTAAAAACTTTTGGTTTTTATTCTGTTGTATCATTCACTTGCATTACATTGAGCTTTAGAGTCAATCATCCCTTAGGACTTTTTTCAGTGTTCTGAGACTAACGTGCAGCTCCCAATTAAGAAGACTCGACTCCAAAGCTCAACCTGAGAACTGAAACTTTAAAACAACTACATATGATGATGTGTTCAACTGGTCCTAGGTACTAACCAAATTACTTTCATGTGTTTCTTACTTCGTTGTATGCCCCTAGTTGTCTCCAGAATGAAGATTCAAATTCTACAACCTTTGGGTTCTTTTCTTGGGCCTTTTGGGCCGCTCCACTGGATTTTTGTGGGCTTCTTCTTTGGCCATGTGTGTGGGCTTTCTTCTTTGGCCA